AATCTTTCTCTTAGTAGCTTGGTAGTAGCGCTAACACCAGGATGCGACAAGTTATGTAACTTCTCGAATACTGTATGTCTCATAGCTATTGGAACGAAAGGTCGATATTTACCTGTAGAGGTGTCGCAGATAACTTTTGTCGTGCCGAAAGGAATTGCCTCGAGGTTTAGAGATGTTGTTTTAGAAGACATGATCTTTTTGAGTTCGGCGTCATCTCGTTGTAAGTTTGAGAGATGTTCGTAGTCGATGTCTGGGCATACAATGTTATCAATGTGCATACGTGATAAAGCGTCTGCCACTTCATTGTTTTTACCCTTTATGTGTCGCAGATCGGAGGTGAACTGGGATATAAACTCGAGATGTCGTAGTTCACGTGGAGAGTAGTTATCCTGTTTTGCTGATAAGGCTTTCGTTAGAGCTTTGTGGTCTGTAAAGACAGTAAAAGGTGTACCTTCCAGCATATGTCGAAAGTGCTTGATTGCTAAATAAACAGCTAATAACTCTCTACCAAAGGTGCTATATCGACATTGAGTAGGATTCAGTCGTTTCGAAAAGAATGCAAGGGGTTGCCATTCGCCATGTACCTGCTGTTGTAACACTGCCCCAATGGCGACATCTGAAGCATCTGTCATGAGAGACAGGGGGCGTCATTCTGGCGTCTGACTAAGAGCGTCTTGTCATTTAACGATTGTTTAACAGCTTCGAATGCTTTAACAGCTTCTGCAGGCAAATGGAATGAACGACTATGTCCACGTAAGCAGTCGGTCAACGGTTGCAAAACTCTAGCACAGTTCGGGATAAAACGCCGGTAAAAATTGACTAGACCCAAAAATCGCCGTAATTTCTTGAAAGAATCTGGTAATGGATAGTCTTTGATGGCTTGTACATCGTCGGGGACTGGTCTAATTCCTTGATTGTCAATCAAGTGACCGAGGAATTTCAGTGATTTCTTACCAAATTCGCATTTATCTAAATTGATAGTCATGCCGTATTTCTGAAGTCTTTCAAACACCGTCCTCACATGTTTCACATGCTCGGTTTCGTCTGCACTTGCAATTAGTAAGTCGTCAATGTATGCGTAGACGAAGGGCAGGCCGCGGAGTACTTGGTCGATGAGACGTTGAAATGTCTGAGCGGCGTTCATCAGCCCGAAAGGCATGCGCACGAATTCGTATAAGCCGAATGGCGTGGTGATAGCAGTTTTTGGAACGTCATCCGGGTGGATGGGAATATGATGGTACGCTCTGACAAGGTCGATTTTGGAGAAAATTTTAACCTCTGGCAAGTTGCTGGCGAAATCGTGAATATGCGGTATGGGGTATCGGTCAGGTACCGTTTGCTTGTTTAAAGCTCGATAATCCCCGCATGGCCGTATCTCACCAGAAGACTTTTTGGGTACCATGTGCAGCGGTGAAGACCAAGAGCTGTTGGATGGTCGAATAATGCCGAGCTCTAACATTTTATCGAACTCTGTTTTTGCGATTTTAAGTCGATGTGGGTCAAGGCGTCGAGGACGTGCAAAAACTGGTGGTCCAGTGGTTTTAATGTGATGAACCACTTGATGCTTTAGTTCTGTTGCTCGGAAAGAGGGTTGTAGAAGGTCAGGGAACTGATTTACTAAGTCAGTATATGGAGATGCTGGTGTGCGTGTGACCATCAAGTTCAGCGATGATGCACGGCTAATCGTACCAGCGATGTACCTTTTATTGAGCGAGTCTATAAGCTTAGGGCTTACCGGATCAACTAGCAGTTTGTGTTGCTGTAGAAAATCTATACCAAGGATTGGGGATGGAACGTCTGCGATGATGAAAGACCAAGTGTAGGTATTCTGCAGACCAAAATCTAAAGTCATTCGTTTACTACCATATGTAACAATATTAGACTTATTAACGGCTTGGAGCGTAACTGCAGGGTCAGGATGTTGACGTTCCTGCGTAGTCGGAGGGAGAACACTAACCTCTGCTCCTGTGTCGACTAAGAACGTAGTACCGGTATTTCTATCTGTTACATAAAACAAACGACTGCTAGATCGTAGATTGCCAACAGTAGAAGTTTTCATACATGACGATATATCTTTTGGTTTAGCCTGAAAGTTGCAAGGTGAACGACACCGTCGTGCATTACTTCTGTAACTACGGTGGTACCAGCAAATAGTATCGTGATGTCGTGACGTGCTGGGTGACCGAGAAAGACGTCGACGAGACGAGCTTCTAGAACGGCTTGGTCGTGTGTGTGTGGTCAGTGCTGCTAACTGACTCAGTAAGGTGTCGACTTTGTGTTCTAGAGTCTGTATCCTGTCGTCAGTGTCTGGTATTCTGCTAGTGGAAGCAACAGATTGAGGTGTTGACCTCTCGTACATGCGATCCGCGACTTTGTCGTCGCTGTCGAAATTGGTCGTCGGGCTCACCAATTTTGTTGCTTGCGTTGTCTGACTAAACTGCTGTACACATATATTCTATGTATTTCTACGTTCTTATTGATGTGCGCAGACGTTGTGGCTACTCGACACCCACAACGTAAATCAAAAGGCACTTGCGAAGATTACGAATATGTATTGAAGCAGTAGTCAAATTCGAAATTGTGTCAAGGTAATATTCAACAGTGAATGGACAAGTATTTGCGAAGTATATATAAAATCGGTCTGTATACACATATAATGCCAGTATGCAAATTAGATTAAAAAGCATGTTTACAGTTGGTATAGGGGTACTAAAGACTTTTCTTCCATAACAATGATTTCACTGGCTACTCATTTCTCAGTCTGATTCAAATCAGAATCTATAATGATTGTGACTCCTTTTCACCTTTGCATCACATTTTAAACAGAATCTACGTGATCATCAATCTGTTCTCCAGACAAGTTTGGAGGAATTACAAGAAAAGCTAAAATTATTAGAAACAGAAAATGCTTCCCTTAATAAGGAGCTCAAAGGTATGTTCTATAAAAACTTCATATCATCTATAAAATTTCAGAATGTGAAAATAATTCTCTTACATTCGTGTGGTTTTCACTCTTTTATACAGTTCCTTTATTGTGTTATACAACTATACTTAGACGTTAATGTGCTACCGCATTGCATCCTTTCTATTCCAGTATACTTATTTTTGCGCCAAAAGTTTTTTTTATTTAATGTTCATAAGTTTCTATAGGCATGTAGTGTAATATCTCTTAGGAGAATGCTAACAGATTAATTGTAAAAGTCATGAGTGTGGACATGCTAGGTGTTGTTGGACTTGCATATTTGACTGAGTATTCTATTATGTACAGAAAACACCACAGTCATTGTGCTCTGGAACGATGAAGTCCCGATTAATGATCTAGTAAGTGACTTTCAAAGTCATCTTAATAGTTAACGTCGTTTGAGAAGTTGTTAACAATTGTATGTTGTTGGTCTGTGGGTTAATTAGGTTCAATAGCTTAAGATTACTACACGTGTTGTATTAGACTGTGATCACATCATCAGGTAAATACATATGCCGGTCACTTGATTTGTTTGTTTCACCTGCAGGTATTAGTCGTAGTGTATCACTTAGATGTTATTTTACAGCTTTGGTATACAACTCATTTCTTGATACATTAGGCGCCCAAACAATAGACCCACTTCACTTACTAAATCTTGAGCAGCCATTAGCATGATAAGTAAGGTCCACAAGGCAGTGCATAAACATCGTTTTATTTGCACTCAAAATTTTGAAAATGCAGTAGAGATAAAGACAAAAATTTAAATCAGTTAATAAGGTGAATTAGTGACATTTCTGTCAGTGAATAAAGTGTTTTCAGAATATATATATATATATAGGGTAATAGGAAAAATGACTTCCTAGGTATTTGTGAAAGGCATTTTCAAATAGTGATTGTATTCATTTTCTTACAGTGGCTTTTGTGTTGCTAGAAACTGCGAAGCGCGTTCATCATGAAAAGAGGATTTTGTTGAATAGCATTTGTTGAATAAACTGGTAGTTGTATGTTTGCGTCTGGTGCTTTTTATAGTCTTGTTTTTCATTCCACTGATTTATGAGGATGAAACTGACTCTTATGAAAGACCTAAATGACATTTCCTTCTTTTACTATCTCAATGTTTTGATTAACCATCTTTACAGCCCTATTTAGTAAATATGTTCTGAATCATAACTCAGGTTCAACATTACTTCACATAGAAATTCATTCACTTTTTGTTGGTATTTGGATTTCTTGTCGCTTCTTCTCCTGCCTGTAAATCATAATCAGATTGCTACAGCTTTCTTTGAATTTATCTTCAAGGTATTCATTGAATATTAGCCATTGTGTATTGGTGTAGTTTGATTCGAAACTAGTGCTCCATTTAAGCCTAAGTGACTCTCCAGTCTCATTAACTCTTACACAATACGTGTAACCTATTATTGAATTCTAACCAGTTCACTAGTTAGTTTCATGCACATTTCCTCATCATGAAATTGGAGGGAGAAAGAACTAAAGCCGGAGCATAATAACTTGGTACCCGTTAATTTTTCGGCGTTCCTCTTCATCTGTGTGCAACGTGAAAAGTAGCTACAGGAAAATACAGTTCATATCTGACATATCTGTAATGTACGCCCAGGTCAGCATCAGTAATTAATTTGGTGGTCATGTAAAGTCTTCTCAATAAAACAACACTTAACTCAATAAATTAATAAATACAAGCTGGGTAGAGAAAATATGATTACGCTGCTTCATAAAGGACTTTCATAGTATTGAACTATGGTTCTCACTTTCTATTGTGAGTGATTATAGTTTAGACTGAATTTTTCTTGTCTTCCTGTGTCATGATTAGCCAACAGAACCAGCTGTAATCTTACACTAGTTCAAAAAACTATATTGCAATTGAAATTTTTTAGTATCTAATAAGTACATAGTTTGTTTTCACGTAAGTTTATTATTCCATATGCGTGAATAAGTAAAATTACCAAATAACGTCAATATTTGCATTTTCAATGTCTCCAATAGTTATCAGTTTCCTTGCCTATCTGGTTTTCTATTTTAGATTTACGTTCTCAGTTAGATGCGGCCAAGCGAACTTATGATGTACAGGCTGAAATGGTTAATCAGCTGCAGTCTAACATTTCTGTATTAGAACAAGATGTAGCTTCCAAAGACAAACAATTGGTGGAATTAAAGAATTCGCTTACTAAAGAAGAAGAACAAAAGGTATCACATCATAGAAGCCTACATATATCACAATTTTGTATCCTCCAGCTTCTCCATTTTCTAATTCATGTTGTCTCTATCCTACCAGTAACATCCATTATGACTATTAAATTGCAATAACGATCTAATCACTACAATACGATACTCTATGAGGTCAGTTAGTTATAATGCTTGAACATTTATCTGTAAGCTGCTCTACCTGTCGGTCTCGCCTAGAAATTATCGATGTGATCACACATCTTAATAGTTCTGATCTTTGGACACACACAACTGACCGACTCCGGCTTAACCTACTGTCAGCTAGTAGTCAGGCTACTCCTGACGTTACCCCAACTAAAGAAGGAAGAATGCAGTACTGCAATTAATAGTGTTCTCTGAGCTGGTTGGTTTAGTTGCGGAGCTTTCATATGCCGTACTCATGTATGCTCTAAGATATATTTTCCTGAAGTAGTACATTAAGATTATAAGGATACGCCAATTCAGTACAATTTAGTAGTCACTTTCTGGATCCCTGAAAATAAAATTGTCTACAATATGGCTTCTCTGATTGCCATCAGTAAACATTAACAAATGAATAGTTGAAGGCGACATAAGCGAAGCCTAACTGGGTTCACTAATCACTGTTATTCGCTACAGTACTACAGTAGTAAATAAACAGAACTATACTCTTCACAAAATGCATGGAAAAGAACGAATTTCACAAATAATGAGTTCGAAAGGGAGGATTTCTTTGTGAGCACTGAAAAGATGTTTCGTTGTAGTTTAGGATTATTCGTTAGTGCAAACTAACAACCTCGCTGACTACTGAATACAGAACCGTCAATTAGAAGAAGATTGGTCTGCTACAAGGCGGCTAGTAGTACATAATTCCCACTGTTAGTCTATTTGTGTATAGAACTACTTGTCCAATGTCCTTTGGGTTATTTACTGATTTATGTAATCCCAAGGATCTAGCTGAATACTAGGAATTTAGTGAAGATATTTATTTTCATTTTATCTTTGTTTTCATATGCATATATGAAATCATAGGTATTAGATGGTTAGAGGCAATACCCAACAATTCAAAGTGCACCTTTATGGCGATCCACCTAGCTTGGTGGTAACATTGCAAACATGACTGATACAATTCAGTCTGGGCCAAAGATAGGACTAGACACATAACACTGGTTAAGAACCAGTGTACAATCAAAAAAGATATTTACATGAAATCCTCTGAAGACTGGTCTTTTCGTCTTTGCTCGAATATCTTTGTATAATTGTCATTGTTAGCGATGCCTTCTACAATCGAAGTTGATCATACTGAAGAAAACAGTACGATAGTACACGGTAGTCGCACTATATTTCAATGTCAGTCATCGTGGAGTCTCATTGTCAACTTTTATCTCTGTAGCATTGATTTTCGTATTCTGTTGAGATATTATGGCTGGTCTAACACATATAAACATGTACCAAGAACACTGAAATTCAACCGAGGAGGATACAGTAACTTATTTTTATCGTGAAATGTATGCTTTTCGTCATGCCGGAGTTGAATCTACTCAGTTCATATATTGTTTTCTATTAACTCTAGTGACCCGAGTTAAAGTCGTTAGTTGTGGGTAGATAAAATCCTGCAAGAGATTGTAGTAATCCTATGATTTTTCTATCTATATGTATTCTAAGTTATTTCTCAGTATCTATGTGATCACTTGAAGTACACCAACCGCTTCGACAGTGCTACTGGTACAGGAATTATTACTAATGCATTCATTATTTTTCCGTCATTACAAAAAGCGCATTAGATGAAGTCACTAAAATTCTTAGGCATACTAACCATTAAGACTGGATGATACATGTTGTCTTAGGGCCTGATTTCAACCCAACTCGGTGGTGTGGAGTTTGAATCTGCTGTACATTTTTAAGCGAATTGAGTAGGGATTTTACTCGCTTCCAAAATGTAGAGTAATTGTCTCCTGTTATTTTTTCCATGTTATCAAGATGAGTTGTATTTAGTTTGGGACTTGAATAATATCCTGTCTGATATGATTCATTTGTACTACACTAAACTTCAGCTCTCGTGCTAGTGTGCTATGAAGTATTCACTATTGAATGCAAACCGAATGTTATACGTGTCTTTATTTACAAACGCATAGACATTTATAAAATTTTTATTGATTTTTCTTTCCATTCATCCTTTATGCTATCTTATTAAATGAAAAAATTAGAGAAACTACGTTTTTCGTAATATGCCTTGATCGGATATTTCCTCGTAATATATTTTTTTCAGTCACATGCTCTTGAGCAGTCGGAGCAGCAATCTCGTAATATCCAGAGTTTGGAAAAGATGCTATCGTCAAATACAGAAGAAATCAACAAATCCAATGAAATCATCAAACGTTTACAAAACGAGGTTAAGAGTTTCCAAACAAAAGTGAGCATTGTGTGTTCCTAAAACACTTTGATTTCTTCACAAAGATACATGAAGTTATGAAAAAATGTCAGAGGTTACTAATATATATGAGCACTCTATTCAGATAAATTCCCACCCATGCAACACCTTTCCCTAGGACACTTAATAACTTCTTAGAAGAGACGGCTAGAACGTTGAATAGAAAGTCGTGAGGAGCAGGTACACTACAGGCACCCACGACCTAACGCTTACCTGAATAGCGTGAATCCATCAGTTCTGCCGCCTGGCTGAGGCTGCAAAGGTTCTCTCTAATGTGAAACGAGGTAAAGTGGCTGGATCCGATTGTAAGTCTCTAGCAGTGTTTAAGTTTGCTAGTTTTAAACTATTGAATAGGTTAACTAAGGTATTAGGCAATGTGTGGCAGTCTGATATAGTCTCTTTGAAATGATGTTAACCATTGATGATTATCCCAGCTAATAAGAAGCGGGACATATCTTCCTGTGATAGTCACAGAGGAATCAGCTGGACTTGGTTGCAGGTTCTGCGGAGACTGTAATTTAGGAATTGGAAAAAGTAAACCTGAAGAAAGCAGGTGATCTTTAAGCTCGGAACATTAGTACAGATATAGTCCTTCTAGATGAAGACGCCAGAAAAGTAAAGTTTCATGAATATTACGAGAAAGAATATTAGTATGTTTAGAATATGACTAACACCTACCAATAGTGAAGTCGTGTTGCAGAACTGCTATTTATCAACTTCAAGTTTATGAATAAGAAGAGCAATTGTTAAATGTCTGAGTCATTTCACTTATTTGAGAAGTTGTATCAGCCCTAATGAATTGTTATAATTAATGGATAAGACAATATAAATGTGAACAGTAGTATTAATAAATGGTATTATATATATATATAATGATGATAATAATAGTAGTAGTAGTAGTAGTAGTAGTAGTAGTAGTAGTAGTAGTAATGAGATAATAATGATCATAATGAATGAATGCCAATGATTACCGTTTGCTTCTACTCGAGATAAAAGTGAAAGTCAGTTTAAAAAGAAAATATGATTATTGCAGCTGTAAAAAATGAAGTTAGATGACTATAATAATAATAAATAACAATAATGATGATAACTATGTGTAAAAAAGCAGTGATATTTTTTTTAAAAAAATGTATTAAATCAGGAAAGAAATTATTGATGTGATGCTCATAAAACATAATTAAAGTATAGAACTACTTTCTTCTGTGTGTGTGAGTGTGTATGTGTGTGCTGAATAAATTTTAAACCATCGTGATTGTTGAAGAATTAAACACACATCAATTTTGAACATCAGATGATGACGATGCTGAGGATGATGGTGATTCTGAAGTAGGCGGAGGAAGGGATGGAGCTGCCAAAACTTTTTCATGTAACTGGAAACGATCAACAATTAATGGTCTCACGTCATCTGCTTTTGTAATTTCTTTCAAGAATGGGATTAGCTTCAATAGTTCACTGTCATTAGAACCAACAAACCAGCTTTCGATTGGAACGCCATTGTCTAACTGATATCCAAATGCCTGTGGTGAATTATCAATAATCACATTTTTGCGAAGGTCTCGACCAAGAACACGTAGATCTTTCACGTAGTTACCATTCACACAAAAGCAATGTTCACGAAATAGTCTATGCTTGATCCACTTCTTATTAGGGTCAATTAAATTGACGAGACGATCAGTGTATACTTTTGTACTAGCTGTAAAAAGTACAACCTCAAAAAATTCAGATACACTTGAAAGAAATTCATACAAATGTGGTCGAATTCGAACATACACTATATACACTACGCCCTGGTAAACGACTTCGAAGATGAACTGAGCGTCCAAAAGAGGATTTAAACTACATTGAACTAAAGTCTCATCCAAATCAAGGACTAAGCAAAATTCAGGAGAGGAACGAGTTCTTTTCGGTAATGCAGATGGACGACAAACAACATCAGAAGGTAATGGTGGAAGGCTGCGTATGAAGGCATATGCATCAATCTCCTCGAAGTTTGTGTCATCACATTCTTCTATTGTTGAGATTTCCGTGGACAATTCTTGTGGAAGATGATAAATAAGTCGGTTCTCTTTCTTCACCTGAATGTTGTGCCGTTTCATCTTCACCGACATGTCCAACTTCATTGAATAAATTAGATTCCATATCATTAAGAGGATTGACTTGCTGGATTGAATTATTCATCAACTTCGAGAAAAAATATTGTTCAGGACACTCAATAAGTGCAACGTTCGAGTCTGATTCTACAGGTACACAATGGTTTGATGTAATGTCTACTGGAGGTCCCGTTTTGGAAGTACCTTGTAATTCAGGTATTATATGGTCATTTTCTGATATAGTATGGAAAGTTTGACAATTGTAATGTAACTCTTGATTGTTAACGGGCTCCGAATTGGGACTGGGAATACACGATGTAGGTGAAATGTTTGGATAATCTATACAGCTATGATAGGTTTTTATATGTGGTGGATATTGGTGATAGCAATCCTTATTCACCTGAGTATCTGCATCATCTAACAAACTTTCGTTTGTAGAACTCTGAGATTTCAGGATGGGCGCTTTTCGTAATTGCCGTGACTTAGGTTTCGTAAATGAATGCTTTCTTGCGGCTGGGTTACACTTCTTTTGTGAAGAAATTGGAAGCTCTTGGCGCTTATTCATTTGCACTGACACGGTTTTTGAAGCTTTCCTCTTAACATTAAGGCGCCTCTTTGCAGGCCAGGTATAAATTTTCCGGAGCATATTTTAATGAATGAAAATTGGTCAACGTTGCAGAATCAAGGTGATATTGCTTGACCAAGAATTGAAATAAGTAACAATACCAACAAAACTCTCAACTAATTAGTAGGTACGAAGCAATCCTATGTATTGGCAGGTCAGAAGAATCAAGTTAATTTTTAATTTTAATTTTTTTTTTTGATTAGAGCTTGATTCCTCACCGTATTTTCGGTACAAGTATGGAATTTTCAGAATGTGATATCGGTAGCCCAAATTTTGCAGGCCGACCATAGATATCAGGTGTGCGTCGGTGGGGGATCGAACTCCGGACAATGTGCATGATCGGCGACAGTCCTAACCGATGTGCCACCGACGCACAAGTCATCACATTTCATACAATAGAGCACGAAAAGTAATAAATTTAACAGCTGTATTTGTGTTGCATGACATGCTCAGCCATTATAACGACTGACAATGAAATAAATCCCAAAACTCAATACACAAGCTAAACAAGTTTGAAATGTAACACCAAACCTGTTCGCTGAGGAGGGCTCACTGTGGATACAAAAGGATCATTTTGAGTTAACATCATCTTTGGCACAGCTGGGATTTTAATTTAATTTTTGATTACAGCTTGATTCAACACCGTATTTTTTGGTACAAGTATTGAATTTTCGGCACATGATATCGGTAACCCAAATTTTGCAGACCGACCATAGATATCAGGTGAGCGCCAGCAGAGTATCGAACCTCGGACCATGTGCATGGTCAGCGAGAGTCCTAACCACTGTGCCACCGACACACTATCTATCAAAATATCTGCATCGATTGAGAGGGCTAGGTCGTTAGCTTTGCTGAATGATCCACAGATTTCCTCCTGATTAAGTTGGGAAAAAATTAGGGATGATCAGATGAAATATGGTACTCATCCATGAAGTTTGTGACTGTTGGTTGAAGTCACATAGACTGTTTGGCCGGGGCACTGGAGATATTAAGAATCAACTATTGGGGTCATAAATCGAAATCGTTCACATTGGTACAAATGTACTTATTCCGTGTGGTCCTCTAGATTCTGGAATTTCCTTTTACCCTTCATATTATTATATTATTATTACTGTTCCCTTGGTTTCTGAGTGGAACATAGGGATTCAGTAACACATCTCCACTTTGTTCTGTTTTCTGCTGTATTCTTCTTCTGGGCTTACGATTGACCATAATTTTGATCTTCTCCTCACATGACCTTCTCTATTTCACCTTCGGACAACCCACTCGTCTCTTCCCATTTAGATTCCACTCGGGGGCCTGGCACACGGTGAAATCCGACGGTCTCATCAGCGTCTGCCAAGTCTATCTCCTTTTTCTACTACATATTTGTTGAACGTTAGGTTCTTGGTTAGTTTGTTCCCATAGTTTCTTGTTGCTTATTGTTTCTGGTCGCCCATTTGATCTTCAGTATAGAGCCAGCAAAGTCAGCTGTTGATAAAAGTCTGCAACTGCCTGTTGGAAATCCTTTTCGAGACACGCTGGCCAAGTTTCTGACCCATATAGGAGAACTGACTGACTTACTCCTCATATGATTATTCTTTTTCCAGTACATTTTCGTTTATTGTAGTTTTATTTCATTTCTTTTCCCTACTGTTATAAGGTAACCTGAACTAATGTACTTGTATAATCCAGTTCATTTCGAAAATTTACTAGATCGACGAAGTCGTGAAGCTACAAAGACTGAGATGGTTAGGACATGTGTTACGTATGCCAAGCCATCGCCTCCCTCGACGAGCTATGTTATCGGATATAGGGTCAGGCTGGAAAAAAGCTAGCGGCGGTCAAACAAAAACTTGGCATCAGTCAATGAAATCCACAACAGTTGGTCTAAGCCACGTAGGAAGGTGTAGACTTCCAGGCTGGGGTCCTCGGGACGGTAAAATCTATGGTTGGAAACAATTGGTGACATGGCTCAAAATCGTTCTCAGTGGCGCAGATGCATCCACTCCCTGTGACTTATGATCTTCAATGAAACTGTTTTGTGTTTCTTTATTTCTCCTTTGTCTCACACCTCTGCTCACTGTTTCTATTATGCTTTTCGTGTACTTTCTTCTCTTGCTTCGCGTGCTACACGGAATGTGGCGACTTGAACTTCCGCACATTTGTGCAAAGTTCTATGTCGAAAACAGACAGACAGACAGATTGTCTGTAAGCTTCTGTGTAAAGTGTGTGACTGAATGCCTTTAGGATGTCAGTCTGTTGACATGGATATATTAACCTTTCTTTTGTTCATTAAATTGGTTTCATTTTATTCACATGGCTGAAATTGTGTAACCATTGTAATTCGCTATTTTGCGAAGTATAAATAACCTGAAAACTTTCAGCACGCACAATGATATTGGATTCAGGGATTTACGTATAATGATTACGCCATTTTTAGCTTCAACTAGTTTTGCTTAAATACTTGCATTTATTCACTATGTCAAAATTTAATAGACATTATTACACAGATTCAACTAAATGTTTTACTCTTGTAGATTAAAACGAATAGTAATGCCTATTGATATTAGTTGTTACTATAGTTTTACAACTAAGGGACTCATTAAATTTGATATTGGAATCAATATTTACATGTGAAGAATTTATCCTCCTTTTTCCTAGGCTAAACTACGAGGTCAAGTAGCAGCTGAACAGGAACGTTTGCTTGTCTCTAAAGACTCTGAAATTCAGAAATTAAACGTTGAGTTAGAAGGTGTAAAATCAGAACTTTCAGATGTCACAAAACGCAATGCTCACATCGTTGAAGAGCACAGACAGGTTGTCCAAAATTTGACAGAAGCTCAAAAAACAATCAAATCGAATGAAGCAAGTAAGCAGCCGGGAATTCTGATCAGTAACTATCATGTTTTTTTAAAATTTACATTTCTAGCTTGAAATTTAATGTAACTGTTTTCATGTGTATAACTACACCTCGTCTATTGTTAACTATCTACGGTTTTTCATAAAAACAACATAACACAATTTATTACATTTGAACAGATCACTCGATATCCATCTCAAACAAAACTTCTTTCGGTCTTATTAGTCATAATAGTCATAATAGAAATAGTCAACACACAACTGAATACGTCACTAGCTAGAAATTATCCAGCAGATAAGTTGGTTCCCGTTTATCGAACAATATGCTATTTGGTGCAGTCAAAAGTCGACAGATATCCTTCTCATATTGACTGTAAATTTACTTGCATCTGCGAGAGCACTTACTATGAGAGAACAAAAAGAGGAGCACAACTCTGATTCTCTAAACATCTACCAAAAATTCTACATCTCAAGAGAATTAACACTTTCAACAGTGCCATTGCCAGGCATCTCCTTCATGCAGATCATGAGGTTGGACATCGCAAAATCCTTCGGAATCGTCAATAGGCGAAATAGGTGGATTCTTTTCCATTTTGCCGAAGCAATCCCTATCAAACTCCTGAAACACGATTTATGTGTTCAGAAGGAAGCAGTTGTCAATCTTTCCTTGCTCTGGTAACTGGATGTCTTTATTCTCCCTTTCATTTGATTACGTATTCTTTAAAGCTGAAAGTTCCATTCTGTATGATTATTACTGTTTAGAATAAAGTGATTATTATTATTATTATCCCCATTGTATGCATACATTGATTTATTTTGCTTAAACTTGAACCCTCTGGGTATGTCAAAATTGTTTTTGTACATAAACTTATTAATTTCTTTAGGCTGTAAGCAGGTAATGAGAAGCGAACGAAGTAAATGATGGTACCATTTTATTCTTCACAAGCTGTTGTTTTTGCTTTATTCAAATTTATTAATGGGGAATAAATGTATGAATTTTCTGACTTATTGTTATGGACAGGCATTTTAGTTAAGCAGTTACCTGAAGTCATTTTGTGTGGTACCAAATATCCAGTTTTTCCGCAACTTCTTCCTTGTAAATTTGTAAGTAAAACCAGAAGAAATTTTATAAAAATTTATGCTCGTACGGTTATATATTAAAATTCAACTATGCGATATTCAGCACTTCCTTTCTATTAATGCACTCATGTCAGAAAACAGCTTATAAACTCTTTAAATCGGAAAATGAAATTATAATAAGATTTACTGTCACGAAGTTTATTTATTTTTTGTACCTAATGTTCGTCTCTCATTCAGTGTCTATGATTTATAATTTGACTTCCTGACGTATTTGCATATTTCTACAAGTAGCTCAATTGTTGCATTATGTACAGACTCTGAAAATTCCAAGCAATATATGGGCTAGTGGCAAAACCTCTCCGGAAACAAACTGCATTCAGACAAAGCATATTATACACAGATCAAATCTCAACGCTAGCCATCATTATCATCGGACATAGTCTAGAATAGAATGGTAGTCGAATCTCTGCCTCTACGGGCAGGAGTTCCAGCTCAGATAAAATACATAATTTATCCTAGTCCAGATGATTAATAGTAACAGTTTCTACGAGTTGATCACGGATTGAGAGAACCATTGAAAAGTGATATCAATCCGTGATCAACTCGTGAAAACAAAACTAACCCTTACAAACCAACTATAGAAAAATAATAGTTTCATTTCAAACACTACGCTTGCTAAAATGTGAATTTCCTTTCACAGAAGCCTCAGCGTACTGTCACACACTCGCAAGAGAAACTCCGGTGTTCAATTCCACTAACTAATTCTTCTATCCCTCCGTCGAGGCCGTAGATGCAACATATTAGTGTGACGACAAAATTTGACAGACTAACGTCTATTGTCTCACGTGCAGATCGACGCCTCACCACTACCATTCATTTCAGTCAGTGACCCACTTAGTATAAAAGCATACATAACTAACAGCAGAAGAATAGTTAACTCATGTAATAAAACGACACTCATCCAGTAAGTACCACTGCGAAAATGACTTTCAACTTCACCTCGAACTGTCTGTCTATCAAGTTACTTGGCTCTACAGCCACCAAACCACTGACTAACAAGTCTCTTCTATTTTATCGAATGACAAGGATTCGACAAACGTAGAACTCGAAGCTGTGGCGGTGCACCGAGACATCAACATTCACCCCACAACTAGCAACATGTTTCTTCTCATTTGTGCATATACTGTGTGATTATTGATATTTGTCTCCTGGAACACATCTCTCGAATCTTTCTTTCAAACGTTGTCTTTTTGAAGTTTTGCAATACCTTTTGTGAACATCTAATATTCGATTGGTATTACTCAATCAATAGTAACGTGGTATATCTAATAATTTACACGACCCCAACGGGACTATCTCGAACTACTAAACGTTGCGCATTATCTTAGTCCAGAGTGTATGTCATTAATTCCTTCAGTACCTACAAAGTAATCCCCATTAGGTGCCGCGACTTTCTTTTCAGACTACAGACAGCTTCTTCGACTTTAGTTACTGTCTGAAGATAGACGCCTACATCCAACAAAGGTAGGTGTTAGGTACTGTTGAACCAGATAAATGCTCTACAATATATCTCTCCCATCTACCCTGCCCCTACTTTGAGAGGTATTCGAATCGCTGTTCTGCTCGAAAATTGTGTTTTACACCCAACAAAAACTCAAGTAAACAGAATAATTTGAACTGTAAACTTCACATGAATAAAAACAGTATGTTGACTGTCAACGCAGTTCGGCAGTATGTACGGAACCTCATTCACACAAGAAAATCTCAACACTATTTGAAAATTCCAACGCAAAGTTTCATACAAACACATTCATGAAGCATTACGAAACAGTAAGCGAACTTCGAACAGCGATAAGTTGCAAAACGCCAAAATGTTACATAATGTTGTGGAAAACTTCATGCCCTAAGATGTATTTTGATTGTAAACTACAAAATTTAGCTGATTCTATCCCGAGAAGCATTAAGTGAGTAAGCACAACAATGGAATTCGTAGCATCAAAGTTTATTAACCATGTATATTTGCAGAGTATATTAAGAAAATAAAGTTAACGATTAAACATTAGAAGTTTTATACCACTTTTGGAAACGGCACTATTCAAATTCCCAAGGCTGTGAATCATTAAAAAAAATCTTGTAATGAAGTAACTGACAATACAGCGAATAACAATACAAAAGCTAACAGCAAATGTGAAATAAATATATACAGAGAGCTTTTTCGACATATCATGTATAGCGTCAAGTGTCAACTTTGCTCGAGAGATCACTGGACATTTTTTCTTCATCGCCGTAATCGCCGAACTGCGTGTACTTTCTTCCGCACTTCAACACTTTCATCGGCACTATGACAGAAGGCGAAAATAAATACAAAGTACAATTTCCAAATAAAGCAGAATCGACAATGATAAGCAAAATATTTTAATCGACATTAGTAATTTGTGATGAAAAACAAAAGACAGAAACAGGATAATTAGTCAAAAAAACATGAGTCCTAATGTAGGAAATACTCATTTAACGACTACCGAACAACCAGTTTTTAATCATTGAAGAGAGAGTGTATCAACATCATGCTTATGTTGAGAGCCATTATTACTTCTTTTTCGCCAATTGAATAATGCCAGCATTCTTACTTTCGCTACAAACTGAAAAACTCGATCGTCTAAATATATATACATCATTATTTCTGATTTGCTGAAATGCAAACGATCAACACCTAACTGCGTTAAGAATATGGCAATAAATTCCAGAAACATAAATCAGAAGTTGATCTTATAAATAAATAAATTTCTACGATATATATAAAGACCGCTACTTTATATGATACGGCTTTAAAACACTTGACTTACTTGTGATAAGAAAATATAGGAGTTGAAGACGAGTTCGAACTAGATAGATTGCCACTTATTGTATTGGAAGTTCCAAACTGAAAAACACTTCCGTTGATCCTATCTGGAGTAAGTGTGAATCCATTAATTCCTGATGTTGAACATGAACCAAATGTAAGTATATTCGTCTTCTCGGTACCACTCGGAAGTTCACTGCCCAAAACATATCCCTTGGAGCATGACATCTCGGGAATAATGTCAGATTTCTGGAGAAAACTCGAAGATGTTTTGGGAACAGACACAGCACCCGAGAAAAAGTTCACTGCAGCGCCTCTAGTCTCCTCGTGTTTAGCAATTCTCAACTGCATCGATGGTTTAATTTGCACCGTACTGTCATCTTGTAATTGTGATGAAATACAACTAGGTGATACTATTTGTTCACTTTGACTGGATACCGTATCACTGACACCAAAAGAAAAACCTAAATTCTTACTAGACGCATCAGAATGAACCTGTATAGAAGCAGCGCTACTTGGAGTAACCGCATTTGATTCTTTAAAATTAGCCGCCGTAGGTAAGTGGAAACCAAACTTGAAATTACCAAGAGGAACGCTTGTCAATGCGGGAAAACTAATAGTTTCTTTAAGAGTCTGCTTGTCAGGTTTCGAACCAGGCTTTTCAGTTGAGCAACACGGACATCTGTCAACTTCATTATCATTTTGTACCATACATGTCGGACATTCCCAGGAACCTTTCATCTTCGATGGGGGCTTTGAAGTTTGACAACAGACGCATTTAGCCTCCTTCATATCATTGAATACCAAGCATGTAGGACACTCCCAATTAGAAGCTGATTTGGTGGTAACATGTACGTCACTTGTTGGAGGCATGGTGGAAGGTAATGAAATGGAAGGTGGACAGGTCACTTTTGTACACTTCAATAAATTAGGCTTTGGAATGGAACAGCCTTTGCAAGTGACAGAACTGTCTATGTTTTCCAACAGACAGGTTTCACAACGCCACGCTGACATGCCTGAATGTAGAAAAAAAAATCAGTTAGATATAATTTTATACAGACAAATTTGAGATCCATTATAGTAAAATCAGGCCGATGATTCGAGCAAGCTGTTCGTCTTCATAACGCTAACTTAATTTCTAGGGACAGCTTCCTTCAAAGCAGTTGTGATGTCAGTTCGAACAAACCTTTGTGTCGACGAAGATACGATGGATGAGATAGAATGAAAATGCACGAGGTGTGTCCTATAAATTCTGCAAGATGTTAGAATATAGTACATCATAGAGAAAGATTCTTAACCAAATGCTGTTAGTCAACCACCTTAAATTTTCTCGTTCCTGATGTTTGCTAAGGGGTGGAGAAGTTTCACCGGGTTCCAGAGAACATCTGTCAACTGGAAGATGTGTAATTAAGTGGAAGCTGAAATGAAATCTGAGCCGTTCTCGCGACTTACTCGCACTGAGAGAATAAGGTTACGACAGTTTGAGTCACACTTAAGTCAGGTGGCTTTGAGTCTGATTACAAAGAGAAAAATAACTTTGCGGTGGTACTGTAATCACAGCAGGCCCTTTCCAGGTCTTGCACATCAATAGGTGGTTATCACGACGTGGAAAACTGAAGTCATTTGATGAACCTAGAACTTACACTTCACACCGTTAGTTACCTAATCAGCAACACAATTTACGTCATGACCCAAATTATCGTCCTGTTTTCAGCAGCTTCACAAAAACAACTGCTCACTTTCCCGAGAAGCAAACGAAAAGTTTATACCAAGTTCTACTACCCACGATTAGTAGTTCATTTTAAACAAACCTTATGATTGCTTCTAATTTACTGAAACCGTTTGCGTTGTAGGCTTTTTTAGTGATAACTCGGTTTCTCTTATAACTGTTCCAAATCACAGGAGAGATAGTATGAAAATTCTCCAAACCCACATGTTATTGTCAAACATGTTGCCTTTAAAACGGTATTTCACAAAAACATCTCAGTAGTGAAGTATTGCATGGGACTTACTTTTTGATTTGTCAGGTGAACCAACTTGGCTGACTGATTGTAGAACACTTAATCGCTGGGGGAAATCGAGTGATTGAGACGAACATTTCGTACATGAACGACTTGGACAGCTGAAGACATACCTCTGGTCTGTACTGTAAAATGACACAATTTCAGAGTCACTTCCACAGATTTTATGGATAGGGTTTGAAAACGTGAAACTGGGTGACGGTTTTTCGGCGACTTCGCGACATAATTCAGCAGTGGAAGTGGCTAAACCACCAGTGGACTCACTCGCTTCGCACTTGTCAACTTGTTTTTCATTGAACCCAAACGCTCCATAACATTTCGGAGGTTGTGTTTCTGTCCTGGAGTGTGTCATATTTGAATTCTCGCTTTCTTGTAAGTGTCGCCTTTCATACTCGTTCGATAACATGTTCATCATTTGATAGTCTCCAGAAAACGGTGGGAAACGATGACATCTGGTAGGAACCTTCACCTTTAAAATTAGCAAAATTCACACGGTTTTTGGTATACGATATCGAATAATGTTTACAGACTCGATTACTGAAATTTAGGCTGATGATTTTTATTGACTGGTAATATACTATGGAACGTATAAACAAAACAGAAGTGCTTATAAATAAAAGATATGCTGCTTGTTTCACTAATAAACGGTCAAAGTAACGCATATTTTTGGCGCAACTCACCTTTGCTTTATCCACAAGGCTGTGTCGAGTAAGAACTTTTGATCGCAATCAGAAAATAAAGTAGGACGCAACAGCAGACATTTTACAGTCGTGTTAGCAAGTGAGAGTAGTCCGGATCAGATCACTTGCGAGGCAAGTGGCCAATATTAGACGGCCAGATTTTACCATGACAAAGGAAAAGTTGACCAGCATCTGTAACTGTGAGGAAGTGCTATGTCAGATGAAACGACATTGCTGTGAAGCAAGTGCACTAGTATTGCTTGACGACCGAGTCAAGGAGATTACTGACCGACTGGTTTCAATACAGAACATGCACTGATATGCAGTAGTTCGAGTCGCCACACTCCACTTAACACACAAAGCCAGAGAAGAAAGTAAAAGAAGAAAGAAAACACATTAGACAGTGATTATGGACTAAAAGAGTAGTATTATCAAAGAACAATAGTTTTATTATAGATAATGAGTCACAAAGATTGAAGGCATCTACTGTTTCTGTCTTCGACATAGAACTTTGCACATATGTGCGGCAGTTCAAGTCGCCACACTCCATTTAGCACGCAAAGCAAGAGAAGAAAGTAGAAGAACTGCATAACAGAGACAGAAAACAGGTGTGAGTAAAAGGAATAGTAATAACGAAGAGCAACATAGTTTCATCGGATCCACATTTGCGCCAGTCGTTGAGAACAATTTTGAGCCATATCATTAATCCCCTGCAGGCTTCATTGGTTTTTACCGTCCCGAGAAACACAACCAGAAAGCCTACACCTTCCTACGTGGCTTAAATTAATTTATTGGCTGGTGCCATGTTTCGGAATGATCACTAGCTCCTTTAAAAAATTACCCTATGTCAGCTGACATTGCCCGCCGAGGAAGGCGTTGACTAGGCATATACAAAACATGTCTTAACCATCTAAATCGATGTAATTTCAAAACCTCGTCGATTGATATCCAATCCTTACCCAGCACTCGATGCAAAATAACTATGGTTTGAGGCTAAGACTACTTCGTTGACACAAGCTAGCCCAGAAGTCAACGAAGTATTAAGATAAAAGAGCAATTTATTTATATAAAACCACTTTTTGCTGACAAAGGTATAGGCAATATTAAACTCAGCGGGGAAGCACCAGCAGTGTAATATTCTACTCTCAAGGAAAAAAGACGTCAGGTATGGAACGCCCAGACGGCATTCACATGAAAATTACGGTGATTACCACTCATAATAAATGAGAACTGCAATAGAATAATACTCTTGGATTTCAGCCCGTTTACAACAGACGGAAAAACGTAAGACTGCTAACACTTCATTTTAGAAAACTTGTAAGAGGACAATTCATACGTGGGAAGTGTACGTGGTACCCATCAAGGAACACTGATACCAAGTTAAATGTCAAATTGCGAAATCAGCGAGTTCGAGGTTTCACTATTAATAACACATACACTCATTGTGGCACTGCCAAAAAAGACAACGAGCTGCAATGTACGCGGAAAGATGAATAACTTATGTTTGATTTACGCTACGGTTTTTAATAAAATATGCCGTACTAAGTTCCGTAGAACACCCCCGAAGAGTAGTCGAGTATTTTATTGTTACTCCAGCCCCACTTTAGGGTATAACGATCCCTTCTGATGACTTACATGCTGTAACACATCACCGTAGGGGCTTATCAAGCCATAGGACTATGTGACCAACTGAATGACGTAGATACGATGCATGGAACACAATTTCCACAAACAGAACTTACCCTCTTAATGTGACGTGGTCTAGAAGACTGAGATGTTCCAGAAGCGAGTGGAGGTGAGAAGTGCTCCAATGTCTCCAGAATTCGCCTAGCAGTTGAACTTATGTTGACATTTAGATTACTTTCCTGTGAATTTTGTTCCTTGCAAAGTTCGAATTTCAGCGGTGTAGTAAACTGAAATGCAATACGGTTTTTGGTTACAAGTGAAAATTTGAGCATTTGGAAATACACGGTTAGCTGAGACTTAGATAAACAAATACAACAGCGGACTCACACAAGCAGCACATACGGGCATCAGTAAAGCCAAAAACTACTACAACTATGGAAAGATGTGCATAAGCTGATGTAACCGGTAGTATTTTTTGGCACTAAAAGAACGTACCTGAAATAACTCTCGAACACTTCGGCAACTTGCAGCACCTCCGTAAGTAGTTCTTATTCGAGGACGGTATGTACAAGTTGGTCCAGGACTCGAAGTATCAGACAATTTCTGACGTTTCGGTGTGGGAAATGTAGACCCAGGGTAATTCCAAGATGTGTTCAACAACAGTGGTTGGTCACACAGACCATTCTCCAACGTATGACGACCACTGGTCTTAGCACAGTTGTCATTGGAGTACAGTCTTGGTGTGAACATTGCAGTGCACTGCTTTTGATCTGGTTTAGGGACTGGAAGCCATGACCTCGGCATTAAAGAGGAGACTCCACTGGTAGAAAAAGAACGCAAGCTGAAGTCGCTCTCTGAATTATCGGTAGCGTCAAGGTCAACACTGGTGAATGCCGGGTGTACATGACTCCTCGAGAATTTACTGCTGTGTCCCAACTCACCGTCAATCTCAACAGATTCATTGGTTCTCTTCAGACCGGCTTTTGTGTCACTTAACTCACAGTTTTTCAAGGATGTTACCTAGAACATCATAATTTGGAAGTTGCTACTCACATTGACAGCAGGTAAAATTGATGAAGGAACAAAGCCGGTGATTGAGTCAGCAATTCGATGAAAGAGAGACTGAAAAGTAAGAGTATTTGGTTAATCACGACATAAAACTAATATGTCAACATAGTAACATACCCTCCTCGGCTTATCTGGTCCCATGGCCTCGAGATTTAGCCCGCCTCGGCACTTCAGCATGCAACAAAACAATTCTATTCCAATGTCCAATATCGTTTTAAAGAGCTAATGTAAACCAATTCGATTTCCTTGTGCTCGGTTCTTTTTTGTGAGGTAAAAGTTCCTGGTATTCGGTAAACTTACACAACTGGACTGTCGTTGCTACGGTGGATTCAAAATTGTTGTGCTGGGATTAATTATTGGTATGTAGTATGCAGTGTGTTATGAACATGTTTATACTGTCAAAAGTGTCAGTCATTTTGCCCGCTTGTCGTCCGGGGGGATCGAGAGCAGAGATAACAATAATAATATAAAAGGAAGAAAACGTAAAAACATGAAATTGATTCAGATTCAGATTTTTTTCGTTGAGGATAGAAGGTTTAGAGCCTACGTTAATCCTTTTTTATTTGATTTCTGTGGTTGTCCAAACCCTTCTTGAACGAGTCAGTTGAGGTTGCAGACACCACTTCTTCTGGGAGTCGGTTCCAAGAGTTTATGACTCAGCAATATTATTTCCTTTTGGCTTTGAACTCTCCTGATATGTCCTTTAAGATGTTCCGACCGGGTGGGAAGGAAAAGAGAGAATAGGTCAGGTCCGTAGTCATTATTTAGAATTTAAACATTGTGATTAAATCTGCTCTCTGTCTACTGTATGACAGTGAGAAGAGATTTAAACTGTCTAGTCTTTCCTCGTATGATAAGTTAGCTATGCCGTGAACCATACGTGTAGCTTTCCATTGAACACTTTCTAGAATGTATGAGTCCATTTTTGGACAAGGACTGGTGGCCTGGATGCAGTTTTCCAGTCTTGACCTTTTCAGAGATGTATATAAGTAGGTGAAAATATCTCTGGCGATTCAAGGCCTAAACCAGTAAGTAGTGGTGTAATCCAGGGAAGTGTATTAGGACCACTCCTATTCATAATACATATAAACAGTATCTGTGAATGCTTGAGTGTTAGTAAACCAATACTATATGCAGATGACTTAAAAGTGACCTATAAATGCAAAAACACAGATCTCGGAATAACAGTAAACGCCATGCAGCAAGAATTAGAAAAAATGCATAGATGGTGTGACGCCTGGAAACTCCAGTTTAATGTCGACAAATGTGGCTGGCCCTGCATAGGTTGCAAAAATTTAGAACTTGACGTGACAATTCAAAGCCATGCACCCTACAACTGGAATGTGTATTGGACCTAGGACTGAAATACTCACATGACTTATCATTTTCTGAACATATCTCCAAACAAGTGTCAAAGTCACGCAGACTTATCGGCTTTCTACTCAGGAACTTCTACAGAAATGAGTCCAGAATTCTGTTGTACAAGGTTTGTGTGCGTCCTTTATTTGATTACTGTTCATTCATGTATGGTAGTATACGCATAGAGGACAAATTGAAAGTCAAGGGAGTGCAGAGGTACTTCACGTCAAAATTACTCGGAACCGAAAATGGTGCGAACTACTCCACTAGATGTGACACCCTAGGATTAGAAACACTATGGCTAAGACGCCTGAGACTAAACTTAACACTTTACTATAAGCTTCTAAACGACTTGGTGTTTACCTCCACTAATGGCACTCGACTTTCAGATGACAATGGCCACAAACTAAGACACACTAAGGGTACAGTAGCTATTGAACAATGTGAAACAGCCACCAGGCAAAAGTTTTACTTGATTAGGTATGCACAGATATGGAATAAACTGCCAATGAAAATACGTCAAGCAGGTACATTGACCTCCTTCAAAAAAGCGCTTAACGGCAAACTACAAGAGTTTGCAAACGATAGTAGCTCTAGTTCCTATCTGAGAGCCTCCAAAATTATAGGTCCATCTAATGTATGAGCTTAAATACTACACCTGTTTTTCTTTGCCTATATTTATAATATTCGATAAAACATTAACGATTAAGATACTCACCTTCAAACAGACAAAAATATTTCGTTTGTAAAACTTCTACCCAACACAATAAGTGGACTTAAATGGACATAAACCGGCAACATGTAAAAGGCATAACCCACCACAACATCACATGGACAGATGTACTCTCGTCGGGCACCATATATGCCTCAATAACTACAACCCAACTTTCTGAAGATAATGTGTTGAACTTATATCCATAATGTTTCTGAGCAGTCAATATTCACAACTCCTGTCGGAACAAGTGAAATCCTACCCACAAGCAGTAGAAATCCATTAATTAATGCGTCTAAAGCGTATGTATTTTACTCCCAACAATGACATTGCAGATCAAATGAGATAAACATATCACTGATTTCAAAATAACACATCAATGAACTATAATTCAAGGATTCTGCACACAACAAATTATGTATGAAAATTGACTTCAAGCTTTATTTTTTCCCAGGCACTTATAACCCATCCACCAAAGACCTGGTTTTTTGTTAATGCGAAGACAATACTTCTGTATTTCCTGATGTGTTGCACTCACTGACAATCTAGCAGATTTTTCCAACTGTGCACAGAAATGATTGTACATAGTGAAAAGGCTGTTTTATACGATTGGGATTAACATTTATCAAGTGTATGTATAATCTCCAGCGTACATCTGAAACATATTCTGCTATCGACTGTAAATTGTGACTGAATAATATGGTCCTATTTCTGTAACAATTTGATGATGCCTGTAAACTGGCGTCCCTCATGTACTGTAATATGAGAACAAATTTATTTATTTGTCTATTCATTTATCATCAAGGTCTTCCAAATCTTTCACAGAGTATACGCATAGCCTCTGTATCCTTCGTTTGGGGGCATAAACTTACAGACTGTATAGCTCTTGAAGCATCTTCAATGCAATACCTCAACAAATACTTTAACTTCATTTCATCATTTAATAAAAAAGCACTCAACATGTTCCCAAACTCTCTGATTAACTGTGGATAGTCTGTTGGATTTCCATCAACGTACAGAGACTTGAATTTGGTTAATTTTAAACCCTTACTACCCTCAAACGGCGAACCATGAACAACAGAATCATCATGCTGATCATCATATATATCATTACAATTAACAAGCAACTCAGCGTCACTGACTTTCCTGTCTGCTTCCAAGACGCATTGTTCCTTCTTTGACCCGGGATTCACTAAACGTCACCAAGAAATCCAGAAAAGTTCCAGATAACACTTGTCCAAAGAGGACGGGCAGACGCGAGGAAAGACGAACAGAATCTATCAGAAACTCTCAGTGTCCAGGTCTTAATACACTGGACCTCGCGCTGTCCCTGGAAGACTTTCAGAAACAATTTGTAATAACCAACGCGAAAAACCAGAACACAGATTGGCGACTCGAGAGTTCTTTATTGTAACACCAACATATAGGCAACTTTAAAATTAAGTTTTAGCTAAGGTCTATGAACAAATATTACAATAATAAATCACAATATTACTTCTGACAGTTTTGGCCTGACTTCTTTCTGAACAGCGACCGATGAGACGATGACTGGTGTATTGATGCTTCCGCGAAAATATGGGAAGTTGGTTTGAGCAAACAACCATGAATTGATCGTTCAATCTTCAACTACATTGACATAAAGAATGGCCGCTCTCAAACTCAGCTCCTGAGTTACACAGATTTTAGGTGAGCTTCTTATTATTGAAGTTTCCTGTTTAACTTTTCTCTAATTGCAGCCCCTCTATTCAACATTCTCAAGAAGAGGGATTACAGTTGGAGAGCATCAGCTACTGAAGTCTTCGAAAGACTTAAAGACTGTTTATGTAGCTCTCCAATCCTAGCACATCCCAACGTTTCTGACAGGCAGCGCCGTTCATCTTAGACACAGACGCCAGCGATACTAGTATCGGGGCTGTTCTAACTGGAAAAGCTTCAGATGGGGAGGAAAGGTGCCTATGCAATTCGAGGACCTCAGGGCATATCTCCTCGGTAGACATTTTGCAGTACGGACTGATCACAAAGCCCTTAGTTGGCTGCGTAACTTCAAAGAAGCTGAAGATCAGATTGCTAGATGTCAAGAACACCTACACGGGTATGACTTCGAATGCAAGCATAAATCTGGAAAAGATCATGAGAGTGCCGACACATTGTCGAGAAATCCTCTTAGGTATCATGGTGACTGTTCATCACACAGAGAAGCACAAACTTCCCTGCTCCAACTAGAGGCGCACAATTCATATAGTTGGCCAAAACTTCAGTCTTCAGAACCTGAACTGGCCCTAATTTCGCAACACTTCAGCGACACTCAGATCGAGGACCCAACTTTGAAAGTATTGTGGTCAGCGAACTCTTTCACATAATGGGTGTCCGGAAAACACTCACCACTGCATACCACTCACAGGGAAATGGTTTGGTTGAACACACCAATCGAAAACTTAAATCACTCCTACAGACATTTGTAGACCAGAAGGCTGCATGTTCAAATCACGTCGGGCTCACCAGTTTAGGGGCTGACCATATTGACGTTCGCGAATTGTACGGAGTATACTAACGCAAGATCTTATACGAACAACTTCTATAGTATTCGTTTCTCGTGAACCAAAGGTAAAGCATAAGACAGTATTTGATCATTCAAACTACGATATATGATAGAGAAGATTTGTAGCTCAGGTGGATAATTTTGATGTGGTTTTGTTCTCTGAGCTGGATAGTTAGTTTGCGTTAGTTAGTTTGCAAACTAACTATCCAGCTCAGAGAACAAAACCACATCAAAACTACGAGATACATTTCGGGATCAAAACGAGTTGTTAGACGAACGCTTCGCTGGCTAGTGATCGTGCCGCACGTGACACGACGGAGTAGCAAATGGCGAGGATGCTTGACCGGAATCCTTCAGCTAAACGAGTCAACTTAAACAGTGGTGGTCATCATCCGATGAGGATTGCGGTGGTCAATAATTTTGGGGAATTATTTACCGCTACAGAACCCTATTGAGTGGGACCGATCACACACACAGTGCCTAATGGCGTACAGAGCAAGCGTTCACAAAGCTACGCGTCAAGCGCTTACCGGAAGAGAACTCCGGCTGCCAGTTGATCCGGCCTCAAACACACTA